AAAGCAGAATGGGCCCCACCTAAATACTTGTATCTTAAATATACTTTAAACTAAGAATTTAAAATTTTGTTCATGAATTATTCTCTGCAGGTCAAGTAAATTAAACAATGGGGAACTAATAAGTTATTACTGGATTACTGACACTGATACAGGAACCAGTGCAATCCAAACCAATGCAAACTGTGTATGAATATTTGGTAATAGGCTAAGCATTAAAAAGCTTCATTATTTATGTTATTAGTTTTTCTTTAAATGGACAAAACGGCTAAACTATTCAGACCTTCTAGGAGGCTGTAGATTTGATAAAAACTCACCATGACAGGAGCCAGCACTTCTCTGGAGGTTTCAGTTTGGAAGGTGTGATGGAAAATAAGTATTTAAATATATTTAACAGACCAAAATAAAGATAAATGAATAAGATAAGTAATAATAAAAGAAGAACATCCCTGTGGTTTCTCCTCTATGAATCCAGGATAACTGAGCTCATCCTCTCTGGATGTGGTTGGTCTTTTTTTGGGTGGCTGATGCTTTGAAAAATAAAATGCAATGGTTCTTTTTCATTTTGTTGAGCTCCTATGGGTTTGAGAGACAAACCTGGAAGCTTTAAGAATTAAAATATTTGTGTTGGTTTAATTACTCCTAAATGCCAATGGGAGATTATTAAATTAGACTGAGCAATAATTATTTAACTCGTAAGCAAAACATGGACTAAAACTGGGACTAGAAAAAGCAGCAGGTAAAGAAAAAACCAACCATTGGATGGGATCCTTTTTACTGTGAGAATTTGGGAATATGGAGTGAGAGTGTGAAGACTGTGTGTGTGTATATATATATATGTATATATATATATATACCCTTGGGTCAAGCAATTTTGACACATGTCTATCACGTGTCAAATAAATGTCCAGTTCCAGGGGACGTTTTTTTTTTATTTTGTTTATTGACACATTTTAATATTGCAAGGAAGTGATATATGTGATCATGTCTGTGGATAAAATACGATTTATCGTGATCTCAGTTTAGAATCATTCATTTGTATTCATGCTGAATGGCGTCTTTGTGAACGTCTTTCTGAGAAAAAAAAAACTGTCACAGAAGCGAGCCAGGAGCCTTTTATCTTTTGGTACGCTTGAATAGCTGATACGGTCACCCTGGTAGGGGCGGCGCTTCGGCCTGTGTATCGACCGCTGTGTTAAAGCTTGAAACCCCGCCTTTACAAAATATGCGGAGATGAAATCAGGCGAGACGTCAGCGCCGGGCGCCGCCGCTGATTGGCTGACACCGGTTCACGTAGAGACAGCTTGCCAGTCAGCTGGAGGGTTTAAAGAGAATATCGGTTGTTTTTCTCACTCTGTGCTGCCTGTTTCCGGCGAGCTGGAGGCGGTTCTTTATGTGTTTAGCCTGTTGAAAATATTTGGTGTATAATTTTTTGGAAAGCAGGAATGTAACGTTCCTACCAGCCAGTAACCAGAGGTGAGCTAACAGTAGCTGCTGTTAAACAGCTTATTAGCAGGCTAGCTAGCTGGCTGCTCACCACTAACAGCTCTCTCTGATGGGGTTCATCTCTGTTTTAGAGCAATATTGTTGTTTTCTCCTGTATTTGTTCCACTTTTGTAAATGGATAATCGTCTCGTGCCTGCTTGTCTCCAAGGTGACGCTGTCGTCGCTCCCTCCATCAGCTCCTCACCCTGGCTCCGCTTGGCTTCCTGTCTGGAGGTTGTGTTGAGGCGGAGCTCGATGCTCGGAGCGGGGCAGACCTAGCGGGGTGGATCCAGGAGGAGATGTCACAGCGGGGATGCCTCTCCTTGGAGACGCTCCTGTAGTCTGTGGGATACCGGAGCGCTCACCGCACGCAGGGGACCTCCAGAGCCGCAGCCTAACAAGCAGTGACCCATTTATGGATGGTGGGGCCGCAGCATGCCCACCCCCTCAACTACCGCTACGTCGCTGGCTGGAGGGAGCAGCAGCAGCGCCGGAGGAGAGGAGGAGCCCATGCCCGCCGCTGCTGGCTCCTCTTCCCGGGTCGTCCCGGCTTTCTGCCTGGGTGTGGTGGCGGCAGTGGCGTTTCAGCTGGCCTGGGGAGGCCTGACTCTCACCTCCTTCCTGCTCAAGCTCTTCATCTATGTGTCCTTCGCCCTGCTGTGCTTCCTGGCCGGGAGCTTCGTTCTCCTGGTCAGAAAGAGCCCTCTGAAAGTCAGCTGCTTTGACCGAAACAGCAGAGAGTCAGCTGCTCGACTGGAGGTCCTCAACAGGCTGATGGTAGGAAGATGATGACCAGCACTGCTGATGATAAAGGCACTAATCCACATGGTACGGAAGAGGAGTAGGGCCACTGAAAAAATAAAACAGTTAACTGATATTTACATTTTATTTCAGTATAATAATTCTGAATCCCAGAATTCTGTCTTTTTTTTCTTCTCAGAATTGTGACTTTAATCTCAGAATTGTGACTTTAATCTCAGAATTGTGACTTAATCTCAGAATTTTGACTTTAATCTCACAATTCAATATCAGAATTCTGACTTTAATCTCAGAATTCAATATCAGAATTCTGACTTTAATCTCAGAATTTTGAACTTTTTTTCTCACAATTTTTGACTTTAATCTGACAATTTTTGACCTTAATCTCACAATTTTGACGTTAATCTCACAATTCTGACTTTTTTTTCTGAGAACTCTGACTTTAATCTCACAATTCTGACTTTAATCTCACAAATTTTGATTTGAGAACTCTGATTTTAATCTCACAATTCTGACTTTTTTTTCTCACAATTTTTGACTTTAATCTGACAATTTTTGACCTTAATCTCCCAATTTTGACATTAATATCACAATTCTGACTTTTTTCTGAGAACTCTGACTTTAATCTCACAATTCTGACTTTTTTCTGAGAACTCTGACTTTTTTTCTCACACTTTTTGACTTTATTCTGACAATTTTTGACCTTAATCTCCCAATTTTGACGTTAATCTCACAATTCTGACTTTTTTTCTGAGAACTCTGACTTTAATCTCACCATTCTGACTCAGAAGTCTGACTTTAATCTCACAATTTTATCTCAGAATTCTGACTTTAATCTCACAATTCTGACTTTAATCTCACAAATTTTGATTTTAATTCTGACTTTAATCTCACAATTCTGACTTTAATCTCACAATTCTGACTTTAATCTCACAATTCTTTATCTGAGAACTCTGACTTTAATCTCACAATTCTGACTTTAATCTCAGAATTCTGACTTTAATCTCAAAATTCTGACTTTAATCTCACAATTCTGACTTTAATCTCACAATTCTGAGTAAATTCTGACAGCTAACAAACATGTTAACATCATAGCCTTGTCTAGAGACTAAACTAGCTTTCTTGTTTTAATCACCTTCTGCCCCTACATTAATGAAATAGCATCACTGTGGACCCCTCAGGCACGAAAAAAGTCACCTAATTTTTCCACCGTTGTGTTACTGTTCCTCCCAAACAACTCACATCTTTGTCAGTGAAGCTGAGTGCTCCCATATCTCTTCCTTCATGATGCCCATCTACGTTAAGATCCAAAATTCGGAGATTCAAGTCAGAATTGTGAGAAAAAAGTGAGAATTCTGACTTTTCTTCCGTATTAAACTGAAATAGTACTTAAAAATCAGTTACCTTTTTTATTTTTTCAGTGGCCCTAATCCTCTTCCATAACATGGAGATCATATTCTAGAGAAATACTTCATAACTCACCTGCATATGGAAACGAAAGCCAGTTTAGGTGCTTGCATGCAGGATTGTCGATTGATTTGATGGTAAACCTGATCAATTTAATGTCAGGAGAATTTAAATTTACAGTCTAAACAAGAGTCCCTTAAAGTGGGGGAAGGGACCCACTGGGCTTCACATGATCCTTTTTTCAATCATTGTAAATGTGATCCCTGAGGAATAAAACTCCAAAAATGGCCAAAAATTATAAAAATACATTGATATGAAGGCTCTATGAAATGGGTACATGTTACATTTGTTTAACTAATGTATGATTTAAACAGTAAATACTATTTAAAAAGTAAATGTCCCATTAGATAATAAAAATGCATAAATATTTTGATTTAAATCATGGTTGAAGCAATTAATCAAAGTAATTGATTATTGAAATAACCATCAACTAATTTAGTTATTCGATTAATTGTTAACTGGAGTATAGTATCTGTAAAACATGCATTAAGCTGATGGAGCGACCAACTTGGAGCGTTAATTATATCAAAATTGTAAAAAAAAATATAAACATTTTGCATTTAAGATAATAAAACGTTTTCATCTGTCAATATGATCTATCCAGAACTCAAGTTGAAAAGTTTTAGCTTCACCTAGTTTATTTCATAAAAAAAAATGTTCTTTAAGGAATCTTTGGCAATCGGATTATTAATCGACTAATTGAAAAAATAATCAACAGATTAATCCATTAGAAAAATAATCATTAGCCTAATTAAAAATAATTAAATGTTATCAAATTCTATTTATTTGAAATTAATATAATTGCTTCCCTTCATATGTATGAATGAATAAAGAATATTTATATGTATATTAAGGGAGTGTCAGTTTTTTGGAGTGTCAGGCTGGAATGTTTGGGAACCCTCTGGTCTAAACTATCATTGATTAATCATGTTTAAAAACTCAAAATAATGGTGGACTTGTCACGATTATTATTTGTACTTTCTGGCATTTTTCCATTAGGAGATTAACAAAATCTAAGAATATGATTAAATCTGGTTAGAACTGGATGTTTGATATAAGGCTTTTTTTATGCAACAAAGAATATTATGATGATTGGTGATGATCACCGCAGCACAAAGTGAATTGCCAGATAAAGACGGCAAAGAAGTAACAAAAGGCTTTTTTCTTTTTCTTTCCTTTTTGTCATCACTTTCATTGTTATCACATTAGTATTGCAAAATATGCGTTTAAATCTACGTCCTTCTTCACCTTCCTACATGACAACTGTATTATTTCATATCAATGTTTGAATTGAAAATATCCTTGATATTTTTAGATGCAGCCAATAAATAATGTAAACATGTATCTTAATGTGAACATTTAGGGGAGAATGTGACTAGGATTTTAAATCATAATTTTAAAACAGTAATTACAATAAAAACAATAAATAGACTAAGAGTCAATTTGAAATTAACTTTAATTCAGATAAGTTGAGTGATAACTGAGAGGAAAAGGATGACACAAAGAGAAAATCAAAATTACGCAACGGCTGAAACGTTCCTGTTCCTTTTAGGCTGCTTCAGAATTCTTGATAATTTTAATGATGAACTGCAAAAGATGAAACATTTTTTGTAACAGATGCATCATGTTGACAGATTAGTTTTTAAACCCAGTATAGTGATTCAGTCAGCTAGAAACAGCTTCTTTATCGGTCACATGACTTTCTGGAAATGACACGCGCACCAATGCAGAGTTTAGCTCTATAGGCTCGACGCATCAGTGATGCTGGACACATCACTACTGTTTATCAATATATTATTTTATGACATTTAATTTGAAGCATTTGTTTTCGTGTTTTAATGTTGGAGTGACATTGGAAAAACAAATTATGATTTCTTATCCTTTAACATTTTTTGTTTGTTTTTTCTAAGGCCTGCTTAGAGGTTTTTCCCCTGTCATTTCCCCATGAATCCACTTTTCTACCTCTCATGTTCGAGCTTGTTGATGCTTGGTTCTAATGTCTTGATCTATCATTAATGACTAAATGTCATCCTCTTAGCTTCCATTCTGCACACAGTGAATGATAATTCATCCTTTTGGAAATATGATGCTGAAAGCGGCTGCTGGCTTGTTCCTCCACCGCCTCGTGAGCTGATGATTTACTGATGCTGACATTAGAGGCAGATGATGGGTGCAGACGTTTCTCTAGTTGACATGTTGCATGAGATCTGACAAATCTGGGCTGCCTTGTTTATCAGGAATAAGGTTGTTTTTTTGTTTTTGTTAGCTGCATTCTCTTCAGACCTTTCTGCTTTCCCCGTCAGAGGTTAAAGTGAAGTCACCTGGCGTGTTTGTTTTTTCCTCAGGCCAAGTTTCTGGTGCCTGCGCAGGACTCGAGTCAGAGCAGAAGAGTGGTGGTGTCGCACAACGTAGATAAAGCCCTGAAGGAAGGTAAATAATCACCTTTGCTTCACAGGTTCTCCTGCTCTGTGTTTTCACACATAGAAACGTGTGATTTCCTCTGTAGGTTTTATTCTTCTGGGTGAAGCTTCCTGTCTGACCTCAACAGTTATATAAACAATAATCCTGCTCTGATTAGAGTTTTAATCTGAATTTACATCTCCTGTTTTATAAAGCTTTTCCAGGGATTTTATTTTTCTTTATTACTTTTTTAATGGTAGGATATATTCAATTCAATTCAGTTTATTTCTATAGCACCAATTCGCAACACGTCATCTCAAGGTGCTTTACAGTTCACCAGATCACTCAATCAGATTGATTCAAAGTTTTCTATTGAAGGAAAACCAGTTGATTGCATCGACTCATTGACTCGAAGGCAATCCCTCACACTAAGCATGCTTGTAGCGACAGTGGAGAGGAAAAACTCCCTTTTCACAGGAAGAAACCTCCAGCAGAACTAGACTCAGTGTGAGCGGCCATCTGCTGAGGCCGACTGGGGTTCAAGAAGACAGAAGCAGACATGTATCCGTCCATATGTATCTGAAACAAAACTATAGTTTGCAAAATAACTGACATTGAAATGCTGTTGAAATGCAACAAATCGGACTTTAAGAAATGGTGGATAAATTGTACTCGTTTACACTGTATCCATCGTGCTGATGAAGGTTCTCAGTCATCCAGGTCAAAGTCATTCCATAAAAATTCAAAAAATATCCACTGGACTTGGTTTCCAAGATTTGAAGACGTTTCGCCACCTCTCCAGGAAGCTTTCTCAATTCAAATGTCTGGATCCGCAGTGAGTTTGAGTCTTATCTCTGCATCTGATCAAAC